CTCAGGATGCAGCCCGTGCAGCCATGACTTCACCCAGGCCATGGACAATACCCTTGTTTTACACAGTGTCCCTGGGAAGGTCACTGGAACTAAGCAGAACTGATTCGTTTTTATTTATTGAAAGATGGGGGATCCATATTTTATACCTGGAAGGCCCGGCCATGGCTCAGCCTTCTCAGAGACATCCGGCCCCAGGGCGGCATGTGGTGCTGGTGATCTCTGCGTGTAAGGGGCAGACAGAGGGAGGTTTGGCTGAAGGTGAGGGTCACATAAGAGCCAGCATCCGCTATTCATATAATATTCACGGAGCCCTGTTCTCTGCAGGACTGTGTCCTGGCTGATGGGAATACAGCAGGGACCGCTGAGGCAAAATCCCTGCCTGCCTGGAGCTGCAGTTGCACCAGCCGAACAAGTAGTCAGCAGTGTGCCAATGTCGGGAGGGCCACGGAGACAGAGATAAGCCTGGGGGGGGGGAGGGGTGTCTGGGGACCGAGAAGACCTCCCAGGGAGGTGACCTTTGGGTGAAGTTCTGAAGGGCAGGCGTGAGCCCCAGAGAGGGCTAAGAGGACCAAGCCTGGGCAGAGGGAAAGGCCAAGCAATGGCCCTGGGGTGGGAACTGGAAGGATGGGGAGGCTGGAGAGGAAGGAGCCGGGCACCGCGCTGGAGGTTGTTAAGGACGTCCGCTTTCACACTGAGTGAGGGGCAGCGCTGCAGGTTCTGACCTGGGCCTGCCTCACACTCCATCAGGGGTGCTCTTGCTGCTGTGATGGAGTGGGGAGGGGGAGGGGACCCCAGTGAGGTGCCCCGCACTAGTCCCGCTGAGCCGGGGAGCTGGCTCACTAAGCGCTCCCACTCACGTGACTCATTTTCACAGCAGCCGTGCTGCTGGGGGGCAGTCAGGGTTGGGTGACCATTTTACAGATGAGGAAACTGAGGCTGAGAAAGGAGAATAGAAGGGCTTTTGTGGATGTGGCAGAGTCGGGATTGACCAGCCCTGACTTTTGACTTTCTACAAAACAGCCCACGTAGATGAGCGTGCGTGAGTGTGCGTGTGCACAGTGACACGCCTACACACACACCCGTGCCCAGAGCTCTAGGCAGGATTGCCTGTGAGGGAATGAATGGCGGGGGCGAGCAGACGGCTTCCCGGGTGCCGATCTGTCCCCACCCACCCCCGTGGGCACTTCAGCTGGGGACTCACAGCAGCTGGGTGTCCTGGCGCCCTGCTGTCTCTGTCTTGAGGCCTCAGCACATCTAAAAGGAATGTGATGAGGGAAAGGATAAGAAAAGAGCAGCAGAGAGTGTTAAGGTGCTTTGTAAGTCAACGGGCCATATCAGACCTGGGAATCGTAGTGTCTTAAGAGGAAGACATGCAAAGTGTAACACTGAAAACACATTTTAAGCAGTGAGCTAGAAAAACAAGAAAGTCAGCTGTCTAATGGGAAGATGTGACCCTAAAGTCCCCCTGCCCCACTCTGTGCATGCGTATCAGTCCTGCAAGGACCCCGGAGGTGGGGATTGCCTCATTTAGGAATGAGGAAATTGAGGCCACAGCCACCGACTGGTGGAGGCAGGACTTGAACTCGGGCCTCTTGGGAGCAGAGAGTACAAGGATCAAGAGCACAGTCTCTGGAGCCTGCTGCCTCCTGGCTCCATCTTCTACTGGCCGCGTGGCCTTGGGCAAGTTACTTCACCTCTCTGGTCTCAGTGTCCTCCTCTGTGGGATAATCTAAGAGTAGCTTCTGCCTCATGGTGGCTGTGGAAGGCCATGAGTGAAGCCAACAGAGCTCTCGGAGCACTGCCCGCAGGCAAGGGACCCCAGCCAGGTGACCGTGGCCGTTGTCCTTGACTCACATGTGCTTGGGGAGCTTTTCCAGGCATGCTCCTCACTGGAAGGGGGATTATTTGAATGTCATCCCTGGAGATAAAAGAGAAAGTCAAGGGAGAAAGAGAGAAGGGACAGTGTGGGTTTTCCCCAGTGTGTCTTTCCTGGGCTCACACATTCCTGCTTTCGGAAGGTGGCTGTCCACCTGGCCACTCTTCCAGATTTGCCAGGGGAGCCCTGAGTTTGTATGCACCTATATCTGGTCAAAGTTTCCACCAATACGTCATCTCTAAGAAAAGTCTCAAGTGAACAAAAGTCAAATAATCAAACCCTTCTCCCTGCCTACCCCCCAAAACTTTACGCCCTGAACTGGAAGAGAAAGACTGAGGGTCACCATTTGGAGGTTTTCTGGAGTATCCCAGGCCTCCAGCTTATGACGGCATCTGCAGGAACCCAGCAGGTGTCTGGCAGAAGGTGCGGGCATCTGTCCACCTGGGGCGGCAGGGCAGAAGCCTCTGGCCCATCGCAGGCCGAGCGCATCTCCTCCGTGCGGCCACGTTGTTGCCTCCGGGAGCTCCGTGCTCAGTGTCTGTCTTGATTTCCCATTCTCACTGGGGTGGGTTTCCCCCCTTGCAGTGGGGCAGTCACAGGGCTGCCCTGCTGACCTTGTCCCTCTCCTGAAAAGCCTTTTCCAGACCCTGGATGGAGCAGCCATTCCACCGCTTAGATGGATTTGTTCATCCTAAACGGGGCTGCTGATGTCACACAGTGTCCCCTCCCTCACTCCTCCTGCCTCTGCCATTAGCCCCGAAGGCTGCTGATGGTGGCTGAGTGTCTACCATGGTCTGGGTGCCCAGTGCTGGACACCAGGGGATAGGAGGTGTGTGAGTCCTGCCCCGGCCTCCATGGCTTTGTGCAGGATGAACAATAGTACGCACGAGTGGAGGGGTCAGGTGGGCCACCTGTGCCTGGGAGGGGGGTGTGCACTGCTCAGGACCAGGTCCCGGCCAGCCCCAGGGGCAGAGCTAGACCTGTGGGGTCATCTCCAGGTGTGCTCCAGGACACATTCCTCATGGACAACCGGCACCTGGGGGTGCATTCATTCAGCGGGTCAGTGGGAGAAGCTGGCACCCAGGTGGTGGGTGGGGGTGGGTAACGGGAAGGGGCAGGTGGAGAGACCCCACCCTGACTGCCCGCTGCAGGTAGCTTTGGGTTGGGGAAGGTGGGTGACCCCAGGGCCAAAGAGCCAAGAATAGTGTCTTAGCTCTGTGTAGGTGGGTCACCTGGGAGACACAGCATTCATCCTGGCCTCTAGCAGGCTGGCCTCGTGTGACCAGTGACATCTCCAGGGAAGTTTCAGGTTAGGGAAGTTGTGACATGTCACATACAACTGTCAGCAAGTGTCCCCCTAGACTCACAGCCAGGCCAGAGGACGAACTGCAGCTCCATCCTTCCAGAGGACTTTGTCAGGTGGGGACACCTACAGTAGACCAAGAACCTCTAGGGCCATTCCTGGAGGGGGGTGGCCTTCAGGGGATGTCTCAGTAGAGAGCGAGTCCAACAAGCTCAAGGCTTCCGTGTTTGGGGATCTGACATGGAGCTGCCTTCCTACGGCCATGTCGTGGGTCAGTGTGATCCCCAGCCCACTGCCGTCCTCGTCGGGCCCAGGCCTGCCCAGCCAGACACTCAGGCCAAGCACGCCTGTGTTCCTGGGGCAATGGAGTGGGCCGGGATGTTTACCTAAGAGCTCAGGTGTGGCCACTGGGAAGGAGAACCCACCCACACCCCTCCGAGCTAGGCCGGGGCCCTTCTCTGGCCGAGAGGAGAATTTATCTAACTCGGCCACACCACCCAGCCTCACGTGAAGTGGTGGCTTCTGCCACAGGGACTCATGTGCGCCCCACAAGTGTCTGAGCACGTACTGTACACAGGTCCCGTGCTGTGCATGAGGACACAGCAGGCATCATGCCCAGTGGCTGTCCCTGAGGGGCTCACAGTGTGGGGGGGCAGCACAGCGTGAGAGGAAACCTCAGTGGGGCCTGAGCAGGCTGTGAGCCTCCAGGGGCCCCCTGAAGGGACACCTAGTAGGGTGGGGGCTGCTGCAGCAGCTCTGGCACCATGGCCCTCCGCGAGGATAAAAACACAGCAAACACCACTGGCGAAGGCTCGCAGTTTATACAGCTCTCGCACAGCCAGACTCCTGGGAACCCCCGCCCTGGCCTCCCGAGACGGGTCTTGCTGGTCCCAGCAGCCCGATGGATGCTGGTCTCCTGGGGGAAGGATCTCTAGGACGTTGTCTTGAATTGTCTGAACATCCCAGTGAGGCCGGCGTGATCATCCCCATTCTACAGATTAGAAAGCTGAGGCTTCAACAGGCAGAGGGACTTGCTCACATCTCATGGCTCCCATACGTCCTTGTGGCTACACACACCCCAGGTGGCCTCTCTAGGGCCCCTCTGGGCTGTCCCCCTGGGGCTTTTGCCCGACGTGTTTTGCTCTCCTGATTTTGATCACACCCCAAGACTTTTGATCTGCTCGTGACCAGGTTGGTTGAGAGTCTGGGGTGCCAGGAGAGGGTCCCCATGGTGGACATCGGAAGACTGCTCTGAAGCCAAGCACCACTTGGAGAATATGACCAAAGCCCCAGACTCCTCCCCAGGAGTGTCCAGAGACACTCGCATGTCAATACACCTTGGGAAGCCACCTCCAGTGACCCAGGTTGAGGAGCTCTGGCCTGAGCGAGCGACGGTGGCTTGGGTGAGACCCAGCCCCACGCCCTGTGCTGTTAACAGGAGGGATCAGCCCCACTAGCAACGTTCATCCAGCAAGGGGCAGAGGGGGGGCACCTGAGGCATTGCCAGGCTCCCCCAGACCGTCAGCGCCATCGCAGCGTGGGAGACTACGGGCAGTCTTGTCTGGGTTGGGTGTGCGGTGCATCTCAGTCTGTCCCAGCCTGTTAAACACATTGGCGAGGGCAAAGCCTCTGGCACAGTTGTTAAGATGGAGCTCTTTGGGACCAGAAGTATCTGGCATTCAGTTTCAGGCCTGCTCCTTTTCAGCCTCAGCTTCTCATCTGTGAAATGGGGATGGGGACAGCACCCACCTCAAGGTACCCGTGGGATACAGGAGCCTCCTGGGCCAGCACCGTCGGGTTCTGGATTCCTGGTGGCTGCGGTCATGCGTGGTCTCCGGTGTGGAAGGGCGTCTCTTTCCACACACGGAGTTGGCAGTGCTCCACAGCATTGCACAGCTCGGCGGCCTCCTGGCTCTTGCACCAGAAGCTGGGACCTATGACACACTGGTCAGTGCCCAGCAGTGGGGTCCTGGGGGCATGGCAGGCCCCCACCTTCTTGCACACGGCTACGGGGTCCATCATGTCCATGAGGCTCTCGATGAGCACGGGCTCGTACTCGGTGACAAAGCGGTTGCACTGCACCATGTAGGGCAGTGGCAGGATTCTGCAGCCACTCTTAAAGGCCATCAGGATGTCCCGCTTGGTGCTCTTGCTCTCCAGGTTGCGGGAGGACACGCTGAGCAGCCTCTTGCACCCATTGCAGAAGCTGCCCTGGTTCTCTTCATCCATCAATAGGGGCAGGGCGGTGGCATAAGCCCCATGGACTGCCCGGGTCCGCCTCCGGCTGCTGCATAGTCGGATGGTCGTGCACACTCTTTCTGGGGTGACTTTGGCCACCAGCTGCATCAAGGAGGGGCTGTAGGTGTCCACTAAGGTGATGCACTGCTGGAGGATGGAAGCAGGCATTATTGAACACACCCGCTCCAGGGCCTGGATGATGAGGACCTCGGAGCTGTTGGACATCAGCCACTGATCCAGCTGCTTGACCACGTCCATGCACACCTCGCAGGTCAGGCTGGCTGTCATCTGAATCTCGCTCTTTTTCCTTGGCAACACTGGCTCCAGGGAGGGGACCCTGTCCACAGCAGCCACGGGAGCCAGGTGGGCAGGTCCCCTCAGATCCTCGCAGAAGCCCCCCTTGCCGCAGATCTCCTGCGGGGGGAGAAGCCTCAGTGTTTGCTCAGCAGGGGCGAAAAACTGGCGGATATAGTTCTTGCAGAGGAGAGCCAGGCCGGTGCCCAAGGACTCACACTGCTCCTGGATGTTCACCTCTGCCAAGGTCAAGTTGGACTGAAGTGCATCCTGGAGCCGGGAGACGAGCCTAACACAGTCGAGGCACACGGCACCCCCAGGCATCTGGGGAGGGTGGAAGCTGAGAGGCTCCTTGGCCATGAATGGAGCCACTGCCTCGGCCATATCCTCCTTGGAGGTTGGCCCCGGGATAGCCAGGTGCCTCTGCAGTGGCTCACAGAGGGTGAGCGCAGTGCACACCTGAGCTGGGGCACTGCCTGGGGCTCCAGCGAGCATGTTCAGGACAACTGAGCTGTGGGCGTCCACCATCCGCCTGCATCTGGCTGAAGACTCCTTGCTGGGAAGCCACATGCAGGTCTTCAGCACCAAAGCCAGGACGTTAGACTCTGTGGCATTGGGGTTCAGCCCATAGCCAGCTGCCGCCGCCACGTCCTGGCATACATCGCAGGGCAGGGACTTGGCAGGGGTCTTGCTCCAGATGGCCCTTTGGCAGTGCCCCACAGCCCCGCATAGTATTGCTGCCTGCAGGTCCTGACACCACACCTCGGATCCCTTTGCACACTCCTGGGGGCCCGAGGTGGGGCTGGCCGTGGCGGCCCCCAGGAGGCTGGGCAGGAGAAGCAGGGCACACAGCATGCTGCCCAGGGACTTGCTGGCTCCAGTGCACCCAGCAGCCCGGCTGCTGCTATAAACCCAGCTCCCCTGCCTGGCCCCGGGCAGGTGCAGCAGGGCGCCCCGCCCCTGGCCACTCCTGCAGCCTGACTCACGCCCCGCCCCGCCCGGGTGTTCCCTACAAAAGTCTCCCTGGCTTTTGTCTCTTTACCCTGGCACTTGAGTACCCCCTGCCCAGAATGTCATCCTTCCCTCTTCTCCTCTGGATAAATCCTTACTCCTTTTTCAAAACCTAGCTTGAATATGAACAAAGCTTAGCCCCCAGGCCCCTTTCCCTGGGAAGCCCTCTTGGCCCCTGGGCTGGTCACTGTCCTTCCTGCTGCAGTGGCGTCTGGGGTACCCTTCCCGTCACTCACTGTCCTGTCCCAACTTGTTTCTGCAGCCCGGGTCCCCTCCTGGAATATGAGACCCCTGGGGGAATTTCTGCCCCCATCCTGGGAGGTGCATAAAAGCGTTTTATCCTTTATTTGCCAAAAGATTAAGTGAACTGAATGACTGGCCAGCTCCTGAGGCTGCGCAGCTGTCTGTCCACGTTCTGGTCCTGGCTCCGGCACTCACTAGTTGTGCTGTTTGGGAAGCTGGTCTTGAGCTTCATATCTTCATCTGTGAAATGAGAGAGCCCATTGACCACACAGCTGTGTATGTGAAAGCTGCGGGCAAACCGAGGCCCTGAGCCCAGTTTCTTCATTCTGGAAACTTCTACCAAAGGCCAAGTGTGGGCTGGTCCATAGCAGACATGCACTCAGTGTTTGTTGAAAGCACACAGACACAAAAGGGGTTTGTTTCATTCCTGTGCCTTTTATTATCTCATCTTTTTTTCTTCCTTAGTTTTTAAAACAGTTCTTAGGCAGGCGAGTCAGTGCTGGGCAGATACACACGGGTGTCTTGAGTTTGGGTCCTGGTCATTGCATGGAGAATTCCGGAGCCAGCCTCGCCTTTGCCCCAGTTGCCACAGCTCACCACCCCCACTGGACTCTCCCAGGGAGTGGGCAGGTCAGGGGGCCTGAGGTTCAGGGCTTCCCTGGGGCCTCCTGTGGGTGTGAGCCTTGCAAGTGGGTGTCCTCAGCACAGACTCCTGGAATCTGGATGCTCGGTAGGAACACTGTTCCCTGGCTATGTGGGTCAGGCATCCCGGCCTGAAACTGCAACAGCCTCCTTTGAGGAATGTAGACAGAGCACATCCCTTCCTGCTGGGGTGCTGGGGCTGGGAAGAGAATAAGGAAAATAGCGTTTACTGAGCTCTTTAAATGATTTCCAAGGACTGCAGTTCCTTGGGACCAGAGGAGGGGATGGTCTTAGGGAAGAGGTGAGACGGGTGCTCTCAGCAGCAGGGACAGCAGCTAGCTGGCCTGTCGAGGTCTTACACAGAGGTGGGGCTGAAGACGTGGGTGTCCTTATCTAGGCTTGGCTCAGGCAGGCGCACGGTGATTCATTTCAGCAGGCTGATCATGTGCCTGCTGCCCATTCAGCCCATCACCTGATGTTTATAGAGCGCCCACTTGCACCCTACAAGGACTTGGGGCACAGCTGAAGCAGACAGAGGCTCCTGCCCCACGGTGTGATATGGTTCGTGCCAGGGCCTAGCCAGGCCACCCCTTGGCCTCCTGCTCATCCCTCACAGATCCAGCCCCTGCATCACTTCCTTGGTCTCCTTCCATGGATGCTGTACTTCCCAGAAGCCTGGAGTATTTGTCTCGTCTTTTCATCCCTTGGGTCCAGCTCAATGCCCCACTTATTAAGTGCTTCTTTGGCTCAACATTATTCTTGTAAGATTCATCGATGCTGCCGTGAATTGCTGCTGAGTGGACATTCTCATGCCTGGCTATGATTCCACCGGGTGGACTGGATTCCATTGGGTGAATTCTACTGGGTCAATACACCACACACTATTGATCTGCTTTGCCCTTGATGGGCATTTGGGTCATTTCCAGTTTGGGGTTAGTATGGATGCTGCTGCTCTGAACATTTCTGTGTATGTCTTAGGAGGCACATGTCTTTCCATTGCTGTTGGATTTATATCAAGGAGCAGAATTGCTGGGGCGTAGTGTTCATGTTGAGTAGACACTGCCAGACAGTGTTCCAAAGTGGCTGGACCAGTCCCCACTCCCCTTAGCAGCATTTTAGGAATTCTGTTTGCTCCACATCTGTTTTGTTTGGGGAGGGTGGGGTGTTTTCCAGCACCAACAACCAGTTCTCTGTGGATGCCGACTGGGTGTCCTGCAATTCAGTTCAATTCTGACACTAACTACCTGAAGTTAGTGCAGACCCCACAGGTTAGGGGCTCAGTGCCACAAGACGGCCCCCACTTCAGATGCCAGTCGCAAGCCCCAGGTTTTTACCCATACTTCTGACCGAGTAGTTATAAATTGGGGGTTTCCTTTCTCTTCGGGTTTCATAATTTGCTAGATTCGGCTCACAGAGCTCAGGAAGGCCATTTCCTTGTGTTTACCAGTTTATTATAAAAGATAGAACTCAGGCACCACCAAATGGAAGAGATGCACAGGGCAAAGTATAGGGACGGGAGCGCGGAGCTTCTGTGCCTTCTCTGTGTGTGTCACCTCCCAAAACCTCCATGCGTTCACCAACCTGGAAGCTCAGATCCCATTTTTCAAGGGTCGTTACAGAGCCTCATCTCCAGCACCTCCCACCGCTTCCTGGAGCTAGGGGGTGGGGCTGCGAGTTCCAGTCCTCTCATTGCTTGGTCTTTCTGGTGACCACCCCCATCCTGAGGTCACCTAGGGGCCCCAACCCAAGTCATCTCAGGAGTACAAACTCAGGTGTGGTCAAAGGGGTTCATTGTGAATAACAAAAGACACTCCTGTCACTCAGGAAATTCCAAGGGCTTTAGGAACTCTGTGCCAGGAACTGGGGCCAAGACCAAATATATTTCTTACTATACCATGAGGAGATTATGTTTTATTTTGACATAATTTCTAGTTTAGAAGACAGTGGCAAGACAGTACAAGGAACTCCGAGTGCCCTTGACCCAGATACGTTCATCCTGTTTGCTTCACCCTTCTCCCTGCCCTCCCCCTGCTGCTTTCCTCTCTTCTGTCTGTCCACCCATCTGTCTGTCTGCCTATCCATCCATCTATCCACACACATATATATTTGCATATAGTTTTTTCATTACCTATTAAGAGTAGGTGGAGACATTGCATCCTTTACCCAGGTACTTCCATGTGTATTTCCTAAGGACAAGGACATGCTCTCATACAATCGCAGTGTGTTTGATCAAAATCAAAATCGCTGCAGTACTTTCCCCTAACTGTGCCACAGCCGTGCCCACGCTTGACCGGTGGGGCCCATGCCACCCCATGCTGGCATTTTATTTTCCAGGCCCACTCCGAGCCAGGCTCACAGGGTGCACTTACTGGTCATGGCACCTTCGTCCCCTTCCTCTGGAGCGTTTACAGCCTCTCTGTCTTCTGTGATGCTGGAGTCCAGGCCAGTTGTTCTGTAGAATGTGCCTCCGTTTGGGTCCACCCGGGTGCTTGCTCGTGACTGATCCTGGTTGTGCCTCAGGCGGGAGCCCCTCTGAGTGGCTCTGTGTCTTCTCAGAACCTCATGCTGGAGTCACGTGCTGTACCCCTGTGCAGTGATCTTTGATCAGCTGCTGAAGATCTGCCAGTTTCCTCCTCTGTAAAGTCACTATTTTTCTCTTGTGGTTAAGGAGTAATATTTAGAAAGGTATTTTGAGGGTATGTAAATATCCTGCTCCTCATCAAGCGTTCAGCCACTCTTTTGAGCATTCACGCATCGTCTTCTAGCCCCACCTTCCTTCTGTATTTATTAGTTTGCATTTTGCTGTAAAAAAGTGTTTCTTTCCCTGCCCTCCCTCCCTGTCTCTATTCTCTTTCTTTCTTAAAATAAAGACTCATGAATTTTTATTTTATTTTACTTATTATTTTTAATTTCATTTAATAGGTTACAACCCTCTACAAAAACAATCATTCATTGTTTTTGATGCTTAAATTGTTCCAGATGTGGTCCATGGCACCCCTTCGAGCTGTTCTGTGTCTCTCTGACATGTGCCGTCATTCTTTGAGCACCCCTGTGCTTTCTGGCACAAGAATTGTTCCAGGCTTGGGCTGACCAGTGTGCTCACTTGGGACAGTGTGGTGCTGGTAACACCAAGGTCAAGGGTTCATATCCATCAAAAAAAAGGATATTTCAGGCACATCTTGCGTGTTCCTTGAACCAGCCTGTTCTCCGAGGAAAATGGCATTTAGAGACCAAGATCTGGACATTGCGTGTGCTCATGGCCACCGTGCTGCCATGACTTCTAGGCCCTCTCCGTGAGCAGAGAGTGAAGACCCCACCTCTTATGGACAGGGGGTACAGGAGGAAGGGAGGAGGAAGGATGTTTGCAAGTAGCAATGTGGAAACATAGCTCCACAGATATAGAAACAGATGTGTGTGGGCCGGCCTGGTGGCGCACTGGAGAGTGCGCCGCTTGGGAGTGTGGCGGCGCTCCCACCGAGGGTTCGGATCCCACATACAGACCGGTTCCCGCTCATTGGCTGAGCGCGGTGCGGGTGCAGCGCCGAGGGTTGCGATCCCGTTGCCGGTCCCCAGTACGGGCGCGACACCGAGGGTTGCGATCCCGTTACCGGTCAGTAAAAAAGACAAAAAGGAAAAAAAAAAAGAAACAGACGTGTGTATACACAGATGCACACACATCCAGGTACATGTTCATCCATCTGTCCGTCACCATCAGACCACAAGTTCACAGCGATACTTCCAGCACCTCGGAGCACGTTCCAGCCTCTCCCTTTCCATATCTCTAACCTGCCGGCCAACAGCGAGAAGCCTGGCTCCTCTTCTCATCTGTAATATGTTTACCCTTTTGCCAAACCCTAAAATATAAAAAAGTAGTTTTAGAAATGCTACTTCATATCACTGTGAAAAGCAAAACCTACTGAGGGGTTTCCGTATTTGTATACATTTCCTTTATTCTGTTGAGATAAAATACGCACATCTTAACTGTGCAA